GCTTGGAGTTATGTGCTGTGACTCCTTTCATAGCAGGGTGCCTTCCTGACATTTTTCCTGACTCTCCTTTTGAAGTGCCCGCCACAAATGCCATAACATAAACATGGCCTCTGGCTCTAGGAATACCATGCTTTCCTGTGTGATTTTTCAGGTAGCAGTCTGGCAGCATGGCAGAAACCCACTTCCATATGCAAATAGAATGTCTCACAAAGTATCTATCAGCCAAAGCTTTTACCACTACCCCCATGGTATAAATATCTCAGTCTTCTCTCAATAATAGAGCTGCTGGATCACTAAGAGCTAAACACTTAGTAAAAGCTGTAACACGGACTAAGCAGAGTCCCGCATCTTACTACCAGCGATCCAGCCTCTCCGGAGGCAGCATTCCTCCATCACCGACTCACGGAACCTTAGCTTTAGCTGCCCTCGTACTTTCCCGCGTGGTCTAGTGGCCAGTGGACCCCGCATCTTGAGGAAAGTACATGGGTGAAATCAGGGCGGAGACGCAGCTGAGCAAAAGCCTCAGCAGCAGGGACTTTCAGCACCAAAGCGGCGAACAGCGCCCGCCACCGCTCCCAGGAGACACAGAGCCGCGCCACAGCGGGGAAAGCCCGCGCGACCAGAGAAGCAGACGCCTGTGGCCAGGCCTGCTGCGACTCTCCAGGTGTGCCCGTGCACACCACGCCAGAGCGCCCAGCGCGCTCCAGGAGTGTATTGCCTGTATGTGTGTAAGTGCACCCATGTTGTGCTCACAGAGGTCAGAAGAGGGAATCGGATCCCCTGGAACTGGAGCTGCAGACAGTTGTTAGCTGCCATGTGGGTGCTGGGAATCAAACTTGGGTCCTCTACAAGAGCAGTCAGTGATCTTAACTGCTGAGCCATCTCTCCAGCACTTATAGCAAACTTTTAAGAAAAGCAAATAGGTGTAACTTCATCTCTCTCTCTCTCTCTCTCTCTCTCTCTCTCTCTCTCTCTCTAGACAGGGTCTCCCTGTAGCCTCAGCTGTCCTGGAACTATGTAGACCAGGCTGGCCTCGATCTCACAGAGATCCTCCTGCCTCTGCCTCCTGAGTGCTGAGGTAAAAAGTGTGTGCCACCATGCCTCGCCTTAGAGAACAATTCTTAATACTTAAAGGCACTTTGGGATAGGATAGTCAGAGACTTCATTGTGGTCTGAAGAATTCCAGAATGAAGTCTTGGAAAAGCTGGACTTGAGTCATATGTGACTAGGAGCCAGATAGATATGGTAAGAAAGTAGAGCCAGTGAATGAAAGCAAGGCTGAAGGTAGACAGAATCACACAGGTAGATGACCGTGATGAAGGTAGTTGAAACTGATTTGGAAAAGGTTAGCAAGAAAACAGAGTGAAACATATACATATATACATATAATTATATACATATAATATGTATCTAAAAAAATACATATTAAGGGCTTCCTAAATGTCAGGGCCTGCTCTAGGTACTAGGGATACAGTGAAAAAAGGAGAGAGTCTCTGTAGTTGGAGAATGTAAATTTGTATATGTTGCAGTGTGAGAAGCAAGAAAATACCATGTAAAATTTAAAACAATAATTTCAGCCCATGAAGAAGTCTGTTACATCTGATTATGATAAATGCGTCTGGTTGTGATAAAAGGAAGTGGGACGATTATAGCCACTAGGCTTGCTTTTAAGATTGCATATCCTGCTAGGTAACATTACCACAAGCACCCCACATATCCATATTGATTCTTTTGCTAGTTTATGTTTGTAGTTTTCTTATTACCTCTCTATGAATTTCTTAGCAGGAATTCTTTAAAGCTATGGACCCATTTTGTGAATTAAAAAGATATCACTCAATCTTATATAAATATAGCTTAGTTATCACTCTATCTTAAGTGCAGTTCAGTGTGCACATGTAAGTAGCCAACATGCAGAAGAAAGTGAAGGACTGAGTGAGGGCATGTGTCAATCACTACCATTTGTGAACATCTTACTTTTTCTTCAGTAAATCAGCATGTGACACATGACCACTTGGCAAAAGCACTGAATGAACCTGACAGGATCAATAGTGGTTAAGATGTATAATACAGCCTCAGTTCAGTGTGTGTGTGCATGTGTGTTCTATGCACATGTGGTGTATGCATGTGAGTGGGTAGATTTGTGTACCTGTGAAAATACCAGCTCTTTTAAAAAATTATTTATATTTTTATTTTATGTGTATGAGTATATTGCATGCATGTATGTAAGTGCACCCATGTCAGCAGTGCCCACAGAGGACAGAAAAGGGTATCGGATCCCCTGGAACTGGAGCTACCGATGGTTATTAGCCACCATGTGGGTGTTGGGAATCGAACTCAAGCCCTCTGCAAGAGCAGCCAGTGCTCTTATCCACTCAGCCATCTCTCTAGCCCCCAATTCTTATTTTTAGAAAATTTATTTTGCCCCTTCTTTCTTTTCTTTTAAAGATTGTTTTTATTTTATATGTATGAGTTTTTTGCCAGCATGTATGTATGTGCCCATGGAGGCCAGAAGGGAGCGCTGGATCCCCTGAAACTGGAGCTAGGGGTGATTGTTAGGTGCTGTGAAGGTGCTGGGAACTGATCCCAGATGTTCTGCAAGAGCAGAAAGCATTCTTAACCTCTGTGCCATTTCTCTAACTCCCAGTTCTTATTTTTTAAAAACCAGTAACGTAGCTGGGCGTGATGGCATACGCCTTTATTCCCAGCACTCAGGAGGCAGAGGCAGGTGAGTGTGAGTTCTAGGACAGCATGGTCTACATATCGAGTTTCAGGTCAGCTAGGGCTACAGGGAGACCCTGTCTCAAAAAAGACAAAACCAGCCAACCAACCAACCAACCAACCAACCAACCAACCAACCAACCAACCAAACCAACCAACCAACCAACCAAATAAGCGAAAAACAAAAATCCAACCAATAATATAAGCTCAAAATATTTTCATTTCATTCTCTCTTCAGGTGTACATACTCCATTTTACAGACCACTGCAATTGGTAGAGTCTAATGTGAGGGTGGCTACTTTGCTGAGGATGAGGAGAGGAGAGAACTCTTTAGCAACATTCAGACTGAGACTGAACTATGAGGTAGGAACAGCCATGTGAAGAAGAGCGCATTACACACAGGTAGATCAGTTAGGAAACAGTCTCTACAGAGAAGATGGCAGTGCAGGATTTGTTGGAGGGATGAGGAAGGATGTTGGGAAGTGAAAGTCCCAAAGGGGAAACCAGGGATCTGGAGAAAGAATCATTGGTCTAACAGAAGCACCTGTCTATCTAGACAATTGTGAGAAAATTCTAGAAGTTGAGCCCCAGCTATCAAAAGGGGAATGCTAAAGTTTACTAAAGGGAAGCAGCTGCTTCAGCATAAGTATCATAGATCTACTACCTCTGATGGAGAGCCCAGGAGCGCTGGAGACCACAAGGCCAGTGGTCAAATGAACCAAATACGGAGGAAGAGAACAGCACAAGCCGAGATCCACTGCATACTGTTGTGTTTGTTAGTCTTCTGAAGATTACTGTCACCCCCTCACTGCTCCAAATCTCATCCAGTTCCTTGTCTGCTAAGTCTGAGAAACAGATAGGGAAAGAGGTTCCAGGAAATGCAGTACCCAGTCTAACCAAGTTGACATGCATGATCCAGCACAATAAGGGGCAGCATAGACAAAGGTCTTGACAAGGAAATAAACTCAGTGAACCCAAGAGACAGAAAGTGAGGCTGAGCCTCAGTTGTAAAGCAACATGGTGAGAGGCAGGTGGAGCCCAGGACACATGATAAAGAGACTTTTTTTTTTTTTTTGGTCTTTTTGAGACAGGGTCTCCCTGTAGCCCCAGCTGGCTTGTAGACCAGGCTGGCTTTGAACTCACAGAGATCTGCCTGCCTCTGCCTCTCTGAGTGCTGTCCAAGGATGGTATATTCTAAGTCTTTAAAAAGGATCATTCTGATTGTCATGGATGGTAGGGAAGCAAGGGGAAGGCTGGAAAATAGGAGAGTCTGAGGTAAGCTAGGAAGGAGACAATGATAGTCTGGGCTAGGATTATGGAAAACTGCCTATAGAAAACTGCTCTGGGGAGCTTTGGTCTCATATCTCCAACATGGTCTTCAACTAGATACACCTCTCTGTACATGAGATATGAGACAGTGTCTGATGAGAGGAAGGTGCTGCAGAGGTGGGTGGTCAAGGAGGGCCTAGTGCTTTCTATGCACTAAGATCTATGTACAGCCAGTTCGCCGCAACATTCCTGAAGGAGGAAATAGTGCAGAGAAGTTACACATACTTGAATCCAAGGCCACAGCCTGTTTAGCTGATCCTTGTATCTCAGAATCTAAAAACTTTGCTCTTTTCATAGCATCCTGCTGCCTCTTCAGGTAAAGACCTTTGGGAGAATTCATGTACATGGCTAGTGGCTGATACCTGCCCAAATATCACTCCAATCTGGTTTCTCAAGAGTACCTCAAACGTATAGGCTGATGTTTTCCGTCTACCTTCAATCTTATTTTTTTAAATTTTATTTATTATTTTTATTTTATGTGCATGAGTGTATTGCCTGCATGTATGTAAGTGCACCCGTGTCATGCAATGCACATGGAGGTCAGAAGAGAGTGTTGAACAGACTGGGAACTAAGTTTTAAACACATGGGCCTCTGGGGGACAATTCTCTAAAGTGTAGCACTAGCTTCTTAAAGAATTTATCTGGAAGCTGGGCATGGTGGCACATGCCTTTAATCCCAGCACTTTGGAGGCAGAGGCAGGCAGATCTCTGTGAGTTCAAGGCCAGCCTGGTCTACATAACAAGTTTTAGGTCTGTCTCAAAAAAGCAAAAATAAAATAAAATAATTTATCTGGGGCTGGAGAGATGGCTCAGGGATTAAAAGCACTGACTACCCTTCCAGAGGATCAGGGTTTGATTCCCAGCACCCACATGGTAGCTAACAACCGTCCATAGCTCCAGTTCCTGAGGTTCCAACACTTGCTTCTGACCTCTGCTGGCATTGTACCATACGGATGCATTTACGTATATTCAGGCAATACACTCATACATGTAAAATAAAAAAGTAAAATATTTTAAAAAGACATTAAACAAATACTTTTATTTTTAGATTAGTGGTATTTTAAGTATTGATACCATTGTCTTTCAATGAAATAGTTCCAAAGGATATAAACCAATATTGTTTTGGATTAAAAATTGCTTAGTGTGTATATATATATATATATATGTAGCTATGATGATGAGTGGACATAGTAGGCATATAATACATATTTATCATAGATACTTAGTGAAAATATGTAGTCTTTGGCTAGTAGTTATAGGCACTGTCCACCTGTGAGATGCAGGCGACACACTCTAACAATTAGGAAGCAGTCTTAGATTTTTCTCAAAGTAGTTACACGGAAAGAGCTGGATAGTATCATGATTGGATAATGGTGTTTGTGTGGGATTACCAACAGCCAGTGCTCAAAGTCATCTGCAGCATGAAGGGTAACAATGTTTGGGAAAGTGAGTGACCACAGTCTCTTCTTAGTTCTATGGAGCATCTCTCTAAGGTGGCTTCCAATCCCCACAGAGGGTAACTTGGCCCCATCCATGCTTCTACCAACAGTTTTTGCTGTTCCCTGTGGCTTTCAGTGTGTTACTACTTCTTTTCTTCATGAGAACTGATGAGGTGACTGATATAATGTTCTGCAAATTTTAAAATGAGGTAAAGTGATAATGAAATTTACTTTGCCTAAATTAATTGACCAAGGATTTTGGCAGCTCTCTTCTTAAATCACAGCGAATTAATGCTTGTCAAGAATGGTCTTTCTTTTTCTTTTTTAATTGAGTTCTTGTAATTTCATATAACAGTTCTTAATAAGAATGGTTGTGAAAGGATTTTTGTTTTGAATGGGGAAAGGTTGAGCACTGCTGATCAGTAAAGCTCCTTTTCGCTGTAGGGTTATGTGGCTGTGGATGTCCTGTATATTTTGTGAGCAGTCCAGAATATGCACAAATGTCTTAAACATGTGATTCTTAATTGTTAAAGAAGTCAAGTTAGCATCCTGTCAAAATAAGATAAGGATAATGTTAAGCCCTGGCTCGTATACTGATGATGTCAGAGGATAATAAGAAAACTGGATCTCAGGGGTTAGAGTTTCACATGGTCAATGCCTGGTCCGGGATGACCTCATTGCTGGGGATCAAATTCAGGGCCTTGTGCATACAAGGCAAGTAAGTGCTCTACCACTGAACTATTATCTGCAGCCCCCTAGAAAGGCTTTTATTTAAGAAGCAGGACTTGAAATGAGCCTTGAAGAGAGGATCAAGTAGAAGAGGAAATCACATCATCTCAAAAGTCATACAGAAGGTCCTTAAAGCCAAGCACTGGTAATCTCCAGTGGTAGAACCCTAGAAACCACCAGCACAGATCCCTCAGACACATTGCAAGAGAAGCCCGTAGGCTGATTCAAATGCAGCTGCTGATAGCCATAGCAGCTTAGAGAGGTCCAGCACAGCTCCAAATCACTTGGCTCACCAGCATACAGACAGGCCTGGGGCTTGGTGACATGGGCCTCAGAATTCTCTAGAGGCTGCAGTGTGTGGCTGAGGAAGCCTACACAGGTGCTGTGTGTGGGATGAGTTTATGTGGACTCTTGCACAGATGTGCTATTCTCAAGACTACTCATGAGCTTGACAAAATTTAATTGGCTGAGCAGAACAAAGATAAACTGCTGCCTCTGCCAATTCTTAATATTTGGCTTTAAAAATTAACTTTCTCACTTTATTATACTTTCATAAAAATGCTTTAAACTTTCTAGCCAACTTAATGAATCTATACCAAAGGCTATTTCCCATTGAAAGTATTTCAGTACAATTAAAAAAAACCATTTAAATGCAAAGAGCTTGTTGGTAAAGTGATCTCTTATGCAGTCTTCTTTTGACGAGAATGTTGGGGCTTTTTAGCTTTTTGAAATTTCTTGTTTTTTTGATGTTTTTTTCCTTTCTTTTGCTTTTTCATTTGGTTGATCTGCAAGAAGTGAAGGGGGAAAAGACAATTTTTGTAGACCAGGCTGGCTTCAAACTCACAAAGATTTGCCCACCTCTGCCTTCCAAGTTCTGGGATTAAAGGCATGTGCCACCATGCCTGGCTAGACAATGTTTTTTTTTTTTTTTAGTGTTTTAGAGACAGGGTCTCCCTGCAGCCCCAGCTGGCCTGGAACTCACTATGTAGGCCAGGCTGGCCTAGAACTCACAGAGATCTGCCTGCCTCTGCCCCCACCTCCCAAGTGCTGGGATTGAAGGCATGGTCCACCAAGCCCAGTTTAGGCAACATTTTTGAATCTTGTAACTTTTCCCTCTCCCTGTCAAACTCCTGACTGTGGTCTTTATCCTCTAAGCTGACTTAAATTGCTGTTTATCTTGCAAATGCTCTGTTTGATTTTCTATTTTTCTCATGTCCAGGAAAAAGCTATAGCTTTCTATCTGCTCTTTTTTAGACTATTTTCCTGGCTTATTACTGTCCTTCACCACCCACCCCTGCCCACAAAAGCCCTCTCTGGAACCCAAGGACCCTACCACATATTCTATGGTTCTCCTCAAACCCTATTCCTTAGTGTGTCACACAGGGTTCCCATACTTTGTCCTGGGCTGCTTTCCCTTCCCAACCCTTCACTCTTTCCACCTAAACTCCAGCTACGTTACTTGAGGCTCAGGCTCACTGAACACAGCCAGCTCCTTCATAATTCTACTTGTGTCCATAGTGTATTTATCTTTCTGATAAAACTACTAATACTTCAAGATCCTAATCAAGGTCACTTGATTCAAGAAGTCTTCCTTAATGACTTCTCCACTTTTGGCAAAGTTAATGACTATTTCTTTTGCAATCTTTAAGATTCATATATATATATATATATGTATATATATCCCACCAAATCAATTAATTTTATACATTGCTAAAGACCATCTGCTATAGGAGAGATTATATCTTATTACTTTTAAATCCTCAGTGTCTTATTCTTCAATACAATTCAGAAAGATGGAAAATGTATCCCTTAATGGAACTGCACAGATCCTTTGTCTTCCCAAGTTAATTTCTAAAAGAAAGAATGTTGCACTGCCTTTCACCCACCTTTTTCTTCCACTCTTTGACCAGTTCCTTTACATCTTCTGAATCTGGGTTTAGACATGTTTGATCCCCATTCTTCATTATAGCACTGCCAAAGAAATATCAGTGAGATTTCTTTTTCCCCCTAGTAATAATAATTTAATTATTTCTATAGAAATAATGAAAGTAAGCATGGATTTTGTGAATTTTCCAATGAAACCACTTAAACTCTACTAAAAATATTTTCCTCAGGTTAACCAGTGAATTGTAAAATTGTAGCAGGTATTTCAGGAAAAATCCCATTTTAAAAATTAATTTCTCTATGTAACCTGAGAATAAGAATAACCATTCCAGGGGTTGAGAGATGGCTCAATGATTAAGAGCACTGGCTGCTCTTGCAGAGGCTCTGGGTTCAGTTCCTAACACCCACATGGCAGCTAACGATCATCTTTAACTCCAGTTTCAGGGGATCTGATACCCTCTTCTGGCCTCTGAGGGCACTGCATGACACAGGTGTACTTACATACATGCTGGCAAAACACTCATACACATAAAATAAAAAAGAATAACTATCCCATACATCATCTTTGATTTATGTGTTAAAGAACTTAAATATGCATAGTCTTGAATATCACAATTCTAATTTGTAAGATGCTGGGCACAATGGCTCACAACTGGAACCCCAGCACTCAGGAGGCTGATGCAAGAGGATCATGAGATTGAGGCCAGCCTGGGCTATATAATGAGTTTCTGTCTCAAAAGAAACAAGCAAGAAATTCTAATCTCTAGAAAAGTATTACTAGAAAAGAATTAAAGACAACACTGCAACAGTGATAGTTTGACAATAGTGAAAAGTTTGATATAACCTACATCTCTAGCATCGGGCACTGGCTATATAAATTATGGCACATTCGTACGATGTAACACAATTTGGCCATTAAAAGTCATTATTAGGGCCAGTGAGATGGTTCCAGGGGTAAGGCACTTCCCTCACTAGGCTTGAGACCTGAGTTCAATCTCTAGAACCCACATAAGGATGAAAGGAGAGAACTGACTTCACAAAGCTGTCCTTTGACTGCCACACATGCACCATGGCATGCACACTTGTATATCTATCTATCTATCTATCTATCTATCTATCTATCAATCAATCTATCATCTATCTATCTATCTATCATCTATCTCACATTTAAATTTATTTTATTTTTTATTTATGTGTGTATATATGCACGTGTGTGTGGATGCCCACAGAGGCTAGAAAAGAGTGTTGGATCCCCTGAGCTATTGCAGGTAGTTCTGAGATGCCTAACACAGGTGCTGGGAACCAAACTTGGGTCCTCTGCACCTTTAAACACTGAGCCATCTCTCCAGCTCTCCCCACCTCAATTTTTAAAAAAGTAGTTTTTAGGACTTGAGGGTATTGTTCAGTGGTAGTACATGCATAGCATATGCAAGGTCCTGGGTTCAATTCCTAGTGCCCCAAACAATATGACATTGTTAGAGAAGATTTACTGACATGAGAAAATATTCATTATTGTTGTGTTCATTATAAAGCAAATTACAAAACTGTAGGGTAGTTTCTCCTTATTTATAGGGGATATGTTTGTATTCCTAAAAATCTCAGATGACACCAAATCCTACATATCCTATTTTTGCCTATGTGCCAACGATAAAGTCTAATTTGTAAATTAAGCACAGTAATATATTAATAACAATAAATAATATGAAAATAAAAAATATAATAATATAATAAATTATTTAAAACTCATGAACTGGTGGTGTGCACACCTTTAGTCTCAGCACTCTGGAGGAAAGGCAGGCAGATCTCTGTGCGATCGAGGCCAGCATGGTCTCCATAGTGAGTTTCAGACCAGCTGTGGCTCCAAGGGGACCCTGTCTTGTAAAGACTAAAAAACACCCCCAAACAAAAACAACAGAACAAAACAAAACAAACAGAAACAAAACCAAAACAAAACTCATGAACTATTTATTTCTGGACTATTCCATTTAATACTATGAACTATGGTTGACTACAGGTAATTGAAACCTAGAACCTGAATTAATAGAGAAGGGCTGTATATAATATATTACTTTATTGACTTTACTGTTGTATGCATATTGACAACTATAAATAGGGACAAACATACAAAGTCAAGGGAGGAGCTTTAGAAGACCATATGCTGCCAGGCTTGGTGGCACATGCCTTTAGTCCCAGTACTCAAGAGGCAGAGGCAGAGGCAGGTGGATCTCTGTGAGATTGGGGCCTGGTCTACATAGTGAGTTCCTGGTCAGCTGAGGCTACAGGGAGACTCTGTCTCAAAAAACAAACAAGCAAAAGTAATTTGGTCTTGGGAGCAAATATTTTCTACGATGGATATTACTTAAATAATATGTCATCTTTTGACTTCAGTTTCTACTAGAAATTTCTTATTTATTTTTAGGAGAAGAAAAGAAAGGAGCAGACAGATTCATGGAGGGACTAACTGTCCGAACTTCAATTTGTCTGTGTGAGCAAGTAGTCTAAAGATGAGATTCCCACTAAATTCAATATGGTATGTATATGTTGAATGTTTTTACTTACATGATTTCAGTTTTCTTACAAGCAGGGCTTGGGTCAAATTGCTTCAGGTCTTTTAAGGATTTGAGGTGGATCATCCTGTCACTGGTACTGATGCAGGAACAACGTTGATTCTTTATTACTGGGGTTCCTATTGGAGAGATAATACATGTGTTTTGATCAAGGTCTCACTTGACATGGTCCATCAAAATGATACATTTGACTTGGTAATTCTTGCTATGACTGAGTGTAAGTCATCACTACGAGTTTCAAAGTAAAAAAGCTAAAGTTAAAAACAAAGTTATTCAGCTTTTAGGTGGCAGGGGAAGAATTTTAGCTTAAGTCACTCTGAGTTCTTTACCTTATTTTAAAACCTTAGGGGTAAAAGAAACTTTCACTATACTTAACAAATCCTTATTACACACAAAGTTCACCTCTGCTATGTGGATCAGTTTCTTAAGCAAGTCCCCAATCCATTTATTACCTGACCTTAGTGGCATGGAGTTGATGTAGGTCTGGGCAGAAAGTTCTACTTACAATAACTAATTACCACCTCCATCATTCTTTCCCATCCTTAATGTTTTGATTTTTGAAAAAGTATTAAATATCTTCATCCCTTGATACTTAGAGTGAGTAACATCTATTTATTTAGTGTTTACTATGGAACACATTGACTACAAAGTTCCCACTTTACAGATGTGGAAACAGTACTAGAAACTTTATTTTCCTAAAGTAACAAAAGCAATTAGTAAGAAGGCTAGAGGAGGCTTCTCTGATTTCTGGATTCTCAATTGGTTAATCACAGACATCAATAAACAGTATCAGGTGTAAATGAAAATGATGTAGGTGACAGTCTTTCATCTCGTTATCAGTGACCAGTGCTACTGACTTCATATCCCTTGCTATAAATGGCTCATTTACATAAAATGGAAGTAAAACATGCAGAAACTTCTTTAAATCTGAGAGAGGGGTTTTCATTGCAAAATGCTCATATTTATATTGAACCCTTTTTAAAAAAGTTGCTTACCTAGACTGAGAAGACACATTTGACTTGGCAGGTACAAGCTGCGACCTTTGGATAATTGCTCAACTTATATCACCCAAACACTTTTATGAGTGAGTGCATGTGAAATGTTCGACTTTCTTTCATGAACCAAAAAGTATTTTACAGTGATTCATACCTCTGAATTTACTAACCTAATATAATTAAAAACCCCTTACCTTGAACTCCATACAGATCCAGGAAGATGATGCCCAGGAAGAAAAGAATGCCAGGTTTCTTCATGGTGGAATAGAGTTTTATTAACTCACTCCTGTACTGGATCAGACTTCAAGTCTGAGAAAGTCTTTGGAGACTGTGTTCTTGGGAATCATTTATTTAGGAAATGCTTTTTCCTTCTAGTCTTTGATTGGCTGGTCTGCTTAGATGACCTAGATAAACTAATCACAAACTTGATTGTGCTGCGGGAAATTCTACTCTCAGATCCAAGGGAATTCCTGCATGTTTTATTTTCATTTCACATAAATGGGTAGTTTATAGTAAGAGGTGTGAAACCAGCAGCACTGGGAGGTGCTGCTTACCTGGATGTAGAATCAATTTTATGACTAGAAAATACTAAAGTTATACAGTGAGGGTTGGCAATGTGCTTCAAACATGGGAAATATTAAAATCCAGGGAAGAAATCCCTTTATATTTGTTCTTCTGCACATGATATGGCTACCTTAATCTTTTCTTAGACTGTCTATCTGACAGCTTGAAAGCATCTTAATTTACTCAGGGACTAGGTTATTTTCTACTAGTTGTAAGTTCATTTTGTCTCACTATTATTACCGTTTATAATTATTTTAGATTGTTAGTTAGCATTATGGTTCAGTTGCATGTAGAAGACCCAAATTAACAGTGGCTGAAAGAGAAGCTTATTTTTTCCTGACAGAGCTAGATGGACGAGTTTTTACATGGTGGTCCTTCTCTACAAGACCAGCTAAGCTCCTTCTGGTTGTTGCTTTGCTACCATGTCTATTGCTGTCTTCTTGCACATGACCAAAGGCAGCCTCTTGCATGAGGTTAAAGTTGTTATAGCCAGTTTCCAAGCATAGGATAGAAGAAGGACAGAAAAAGGGCGCTCCACTCTCTTTTAGACCAAACCTAGAAACTGCACCTGTCATTTTCCACCACCTCCCACGCAGCAGAACTTACATGGCCACATCTAGCTGCAGAAGTTCAGAGACATGATCTCTGTTTTGGTTGGTCAGCTAAAGGCTGAAGGTTCCATGACTGCGCACCAACATTCCTCCATTGGGAAAGCTGATCTAAGGCAGAAATACCTCTGTGAGCCCACGGTCTCTACTGGCTCTGTCTTCACTCTCTTGTGGTCTCTACTTTACTGTTATAGTACCTGGTCTCCAATCCTCACAGGAGGAATGGGCTTATATTTGAAAGAGTCACGACACTCCCACCCCAAATACACATAGGAGACAGGAAACAAATTGATGCAGTTAAACTAATTGTGAAATCGAGGCAGATGGGCTTTCTTAAGCACAGCTGTTGTTTTGTTATTGCTCAGGAAAAGCAGAACAAAGAACTCAAATCAAGAAATCTCTGACCTTATTACACAAAACACAGAAGTACTGGAAAATCCTCTAAGAGATTATTTATTTATTTATTTATTTATTTATTTGTGTGCATTGTGCACTCAAGCATATGGGTTGTTTCATATGTGTGTTGGAACATGTATGTGCATGTGCATGTATGTATGTACATGCATACGCATGTGTGCGTATGTGTGTGGATATAAGTCCTAAAGTTGACATCAAGTGTCTTCCCTGATTGCTTTCCACTTTATTTCATTTTATTTATTTATTCATTCATTCACTCACTCACTCATTCATTCATTCATTCATTTTTGAGACAGGGTCTGCCAGCTAGCCTGGAACTCACTGTGTAAACCAGGCTTGTCTCAGTCTCACAGAGATCCATCTGCCTCTGCTTGGATTAAAAGTATGCACCACCATACCTGGCTTCACTTTAATTTTATTTATTTATTTAAAATATTTTATTTATTATTTTTTTATGTGTATGAATGTATTGCCTACATGTATGTAAGTATACCTGTGTTCTGCAATGCCAGCAGAGTTCAGAAGAGGGTATCAAATTCCCCTGGAACTGGAGTTATGGATGGTTGTTAGTCACCATGTGGGTGATAGGAACTGAACTTGGGTCCTCTGCAAGAGCAGTGTGCTGGATACATTTAGTGTCGACTTGACACACTGAGTTGAGGGGGCCTCAACTGGAGAAATGCCTCCATAGGACTGGCCTGTGGCCATGTCTGTGGGGCATCTTCTTGATTGTTGAGTGATATGAGAGGGCACAGCTCACTGTGAGTGGTACCATCGCTGGGCAGGTGGGCCTATGTTGTATAAGAAAGCAGGTTGAGCAGGGGCCAGGGAGCAAGCCAGTAAGCAGTGTTCCTCCATGGCCTGTGCTTCAGCTCCTGCCTCCAGGTTCCTGCCCTGAGTTCCTACCTTGGACTCCCTGATGAACTGCGACCTGGGAGATGTAAAACAAATAAACCCTTTCCTCCTCAAGTTGGTAGTCATCAGAGTGTTTTGTCACAGCAATGGAGAGACAAACTAGGATAAGCAGCCAGTGCTCTTAACCTCTGAGCCATCTCTCCAGCCCTGGCTTCACTTTATTTATAAAGTTTCTTGCTGAATCTCAATCCTAGCTTGTCTAGCTCACTAGCTTGCCCCAGGGAACCATTTCTGCCTCCTGAGTGTTGGGATTGCAGGTGACTGCCAGGCCTACTTTGCTTTTATGTGGGTTCTGGGGAATTCAACCTCTAGTTCTCATGCTTGCATGGTAAGTTCTTCATCTACTAAACTGTCTGCTCAGTCGTGACTCCACCTTATTTTCTGAAACAGGGACTCTCACTGAACCTTGGGTTAATGGATTCTTTTAGATATGCTGGCCAGCAAGACTCAGGGATCCTCTTGTCTCCACCTCCAGCTTTTGACGTGGTGTTGAGGATCTGAACTCAGGTCCTCATGCTCGCAGTGCAAGCACTTTACCCATGGAGCCATATTTCCAGTCCTTATTTATTCATTTACATTTATTCACTTCTTTACGTGTAGGGGTGAGGGTTGGGCACATATTCCGTGGCACACAAATGTAAGTCAGAGGATACCATGAGGGAGTCGAGCCTCTCTTTCTACCATGTGGGTCCTGAGGATCAAACTTAGGTTGTCAGGCTTGGTGACAAGTGTTTTTACCTTGTGAACCATCTCACCAGTCTCCTATTTATTTATTTATTTATTTATTATTTATTTATTTCTGAATAGCATATAACCTATTAAGTAAGAACAACACTGGACCTAAATTTTCAAATAAATATTTTCTTAGAAATAACTGACAATGATTTCTAATTTAAAAGTAACTCTTAGCCAGGCATGATGGTGCACACCTATAATCCCAGTACTCGGGAGACTGAGGCAGGCAGATCTCTGTGAGATGGAGGCCAACCTGGTCTACATAGTGAATTCCCCCTGTCTCAAATCCACACAAACACACACATCACCACCACCACCACCACCAAACAAGCAAACAAACAAAACCCCCCAAACAACCAATCAGGGGCTGGAAAGAAGGCTCAGTGGTTAAGAGTACGGGTTGCTACTGCAGAGGACCAGGGTTCAGTTCCCAGCACTCACATGGCAGCTAACATTTCCAGCTCCAGGGGACTGCACAACCTCTCCTGGCTTCCACAGACATTGTACACACAGGTGCACTTACATACACAGGAAAAACACTGAAACACATAAGATAAAAGTAAAAAAAATTAAAAAGAAACCAACCAAATAAATTTAAGTCTTAAAGGGCTGGAGATGTAGCTCAGTTTTTAAGAGTGTTTGTCTGCCATGCATAAAGACCAGGGTTTAATCCTCAACACTGTCTAACAGGGTGTGGTAGTACATGCCTGTCATCTAGCACTTGGGAGGTGGAGGCAGGAGGATCAGAAGTTTAAGGTTGAGCTGCAGAAATGACTCAGTGGGTAAGACTGCTTTCTGTGAAAGCAAGAAGACCTGAGTTCAAATCCCTAGCACACATGAAAGCGTGGCTGCCTATGTCTGTAATCCCACATTATGGAGTAGAGACAGATGAATTCCAGGAGTTTGCTGCTCAGCAAGCCCAGCCAAAATGGAGAGCTTCAGGTTCAATCAGAGACCCTGTCTCAAAAACACAAAATGGAGGATGAGAAAGGAAGACATCGGATATCCATACAAGTTCGCATGAGTGTGCACATCAGCACACGTGTATACGCTATACACACCCCATACCACATCACACACACACATAAGCATACAACACACACATGAACTTTAAGGTCATCCTCTGCTACGTAGTGAGTTTGAGGCCAGTCAGTCTAGGATAACTGAGACTCTAACTCAAAGGAAAGTAATCTTTTGAACTAATGTCTGGAATTTAACAGCTTTTATTTAGGAAAGATGAAAACACTTTTGTCCCTAGGACCATTCTGAATGACCTATTAGAATTGGCAGAAATAAGATGACTGGGTCTGATTTTATGTCACCCAGGAAAGTGTCTAAGAAAAAAAATCCTGTGACTATCACAATTTTACCCAAATCTTTATTCCCAAAGTCAGTCATCTCTGATATATCTAGTGTAGTTTTGCACAAAATATAACTGTTCGATTTTTCCAAATGTCTCCCCAAGTGTCTGACATTAGCAGTGTGATTATGAAATACAAAAATTATATACTTATATCTATATTCTGAGGAGTCTAAAAAGGCCTATATTTTCCAAAAGTGCACTAAACATTCAATAGTAAATGTTTTAAAAATTAAGTAGTTATTAAAAGTGCTCTGGGTCTTCAAAATTCTTGCAGCAGTTGAAACTAAAGTCAAAGTTAGTAAGATAATAAAACTTAATGTCTAGTTTTCCTCAGAGCATATTTTTTTCTGGAACAGGATATGAGTGGGAAGAAAGGAAAAGTCAACAGGACAAAAGTCAAAAAATACAAATAACCCTTCTCCAAACAGGATCTGAGGAAAAAACAACAAAAGAAAACAAAAGCTTAAAAAGTTTTAATGCTATACAGCTTCTTGACATTAAAGTCCAGAAAAAAGTTCTCATAATAGAAATTGAAATTGTTTAATCAAATGCTAGATAATACCAGCAGGATGTAGTAGAAGTATTTTTTGGTCTACTTTACACAATCATTGAATACACTTATTAATAGAAGAAAAAACTATAGCTAAGAGAGAGACTATTGTTTTACACAGTGATTATGTACACACAGACTATACCTAGACTTTCTTTGCCTT